ACTAATACATACCAACGACAGCCACTATTAATGTATAAATATTAGGTACCGGATATCTTAGTGTCGCTTTTCTGAGTTCAGGAAGTTTTGGGGCCGATTACTATGGAAAATCAATATCTCAGAAGGCAGTTTTTGCTCATTAATACTGCGAAATATGTTGCTTATTGTCTTCTATTGTTGGTTCACAATTTAACTTTCCCCCAATTTTTATACTTTTTCTGAAAATTCCTGGGTCCAGTGTGCAAATTCGCATGTGTGTACCAAATGCATCAAAATTCTTGCTGAGAGCTGTAACCTCCGCCCACCAAACCAGCATTGCATTTGATGGAGGGAATACTACCATTTAAAATGCTCATCGGTTTTTCACAGTTTTCTTAAAAGACAGTAAAGTCTTTGAAGGGATGCCCGCAACCGTCGCCAAAAAAGGTGGTCCTAGCTAAATCAGTCAAAACGGGGCTGCACCAGTCTTGTGCTGGAATGGTAGGACACCCTAGCAGTTACTGATCGATGGTGCACAGACGCTCTAACGAAGTTGATTGACCAAGAAATTCTAATAAATGTGCTCATCTGCTACTCACGTGTGCTCAAAAAGGGTGCGTTTTGACCCCATGTGGCAAAAAAGACTCCGGGAAAAATTGTCCAGTTGAGCTGGTAAGTAATAAATTTTCCACCAAACAGTGCAGACCCTACTCTAACTAAATGTATACATATTTTGTCCAGGCCCAACTGTTTAGCAAGGTAGAGGGATGATTTGTCAGATGATGTCAAATTCGACCTACCTCTCTTTTCGTCTCAAAAAATTCCTAACTTTAATCGTACGAGGTTTTCACTCATACTGGTAAATGGGAAAGGGCTAATGAGTCATTCGATGGATATGCCGTTTCACTCACTGGATTTTGAATTAAAATATTGGTGGTCCGAAACTCGCGTGGTGAAAAAACGACACTAAGATATCCGGTACCTAATAGTAAAAAAGATGGCCAACCTCATTCCAGCAAGCGAGCTCTTCAATCGATTCCATACACGGCTATTCTGAGCACACCTGCGATTTGGGCTGTGTGGATCGCTCAATTGGGAACTTCACTTGTGTCAATATGATGTTCCTATTCTCGCCAAAGTATCTTTCAACTGGTTAGTTTCTTCGTAAAAAGCATAATAAATCCATGCGGGGACGTCTGTGGGGCAGCAGAAAGAAGGGCAGCTGCCATTTAGTCCAGCAGTGACGCTCTATTCTCGGCTCGAAAATAGTCAGTAGTTCACAACAATCAACCTTTGTGTACTGTATCAGTGCGCCAAATTCTTTTCCATACGCTTAGCTTTGGAAGATGAAAAAAAAAAAAAAAAAAAAAAAAAAAAAAAAAAAAAAAAAAAAAAAAAAAAAAAAAAAAAAAAAAAAAAAAAAAAAAAAAAAAAAAAAAAAAAAAAAAAAAATTTTTTTTTGAACGAGTTCATGATTACTCATGATCTTAATTGCGTCTAGAAACTGGAAGAGAATGAGGTTGAAGCGACCCTTTCCGTTCGTTTGACAATCTTCTGCCAGTGCTTCATGCACTGTTACTCCGCGCCCAAATAATGGAGCATTGTTACCATTCTTCAAAATCTGATTATTTAGTGTTGGGCTTTCGCTGTCCACAAGACGGGCATCACAGCCGCTCTGCCACCTCTTGCCCAATTTCTTAGCAAATTAGCATTCGGTGAGTCGCTTATCAACTTTAATACTCATTAGTTGCTGCGAAAATGACGGTATAAATTAATGGCCTGCCAACAGACAGTAGAGCCAGCTGAGAACAAATCAGCGTGAGGTCGCGGCGCGGTGCTTCTATGTATCTTACGAATCTATCTTCGCGTTTAGGCATGCTGTGTCGGATCGAATCAAGTTTATATCGGAAAGGAATAAATTCCGAATTTTCAACTCGATTGCTTTCTTTGGATCGGCTGCCTTCCTAACCATCCTGGCTTTCATGGGAGATGTTCCATAAGGTACGTTGTATCGCTTTTATTGAGAAAGTCACTCGTCCTCATCAAATTTAATAAATTGGGATGTCTTAGTATCGACTTACCTGTAGGTTTTCTTTAAAGTCTCTCATGTGATATGAATTTTATTTCTTAATACCTCTCGATATTGAAATTGAAAGCAACGTGAACTTCAGCCAACTTTCTCTTACTGTGTTCATAATCTTTGAGGGAGAAATTCTCAAAAATCCTTCAAGAACCTTTGATTCATACCCTTTTTCAACTAGGAATTGAACCATAAGCGCGGCGCATCCCGCGGGCCCATGTTTCAATTTCAGCTGTTCTGCAATGCATCTGAGCGTCCCAATTGAATAGCATTTACTTTAAGAGGCATTTTACATTTTTTATGATTTTTTTTTGCGGTAAAGTTGCTGCAACAAGATTTTGGGTACCCGACAGGAGGCCCGTCGCGCGAGAGTCAGCGAACGAGTCGCAGCGGGCACTGTAGTGAATTCGCGTCAAGTTAAATAGAATGTGCCCCTGCAAGTCCTACATTATGTTGAACAGAATATGCCACTGCACGTCCTACATCACACAGTACGCGCTGCGACTCGTGCTTTGCCTTCTTGCCGCGCGACGGGCATCTTGTCGGGTACCCCAAGGTTTTATACTTTCAACGGCCTTTAAACTTATTTACATTTTTCAGAACTACAACATGATCGTTTTTGGATGTGCTGCAGGTGTACTCGGTGCAACCACCGGTGGCTTTTTCAAAGCTGGTCCAGTGCTTTCAAAGCAGTACAGGTGATTTTGAACTTTTCAAGCCTGACGAGCCGTGCTGTTTATTTATCGAAGAAGAATTTTGGCAGCTTTGAGCAGAGATGGGGCAATAGTTAGATACACACTGACCACGCACACTGTTAAAGGATGAAATTTAGGGTATAGACTCGATCAGACCAGAAAAGGTTGCCCATAGCCAATGTACCATGCTCATCTTAAAATACTATAAGAGCCTGGCCACGGCACATTTACGCCCTCTGCAAGCCAATGCATACCTTAAGTTCTCTTCAAAGTGTCACTAGGATTCTACTGGGGCAGAACACGTGGCGTATCCTAGAGCCAGGGCTTAATCAATGCCGCGTGCTTTATCCCTTTTCACTAATCTCTCTGAGGGAACACTATGTCATTCTCTCTATTTTCAGCCATTTTGTGACCGGTAACATCTCACTAGGAATCACAATCACGATGCTTATCGTGCCTTTCATTGTCAACTCGCTCACACATCATTCAACGCAAGAAGAATGGAAATGGGTTTTTCTCATCGTCGCTGCCGTAATGGTAAGTGCCATTATGCTGCTGTCATACCTACGATCGTACCATTATCCAAT